ATTTTGGTTTGTGAACATGTTGACTTTGTGCACCGTTTTTGCTTTTAAAATATTTTTCCTTGTTAATAAGAAACTTTAATGGCTTGCTTGCCTTTTAACTTGGTTAGGTGCTAAATTAAGTTCAATACTGGAAATGAGAATAAGAATCCTGACTGGGAGTGGGAGAGCGGTGTGCAGGTCCTGCTTGTGAATGCTTTACCATCCCAGTAGCAGAATAAACACATTTCCAGATTGAGAGCGTGTATTTTGGTTTTCTCTCGTGGTGTACAGAATCGGGCTAGGATTAGCAACACGTCTGTTTTAACAAACTAGTGCTTTGCTTTTCTGTGTTGTAGCTGAATGCTTTGGGTTGTTCTGTTTAACGGTGCCGGCCAGTAACAAGAAAATTGAAGATTCTCTCAGAGTAATTAAATGTGGTGACGGCCAGTTCAGGGAGGAAGCGGTGCACCATCTGATTGTTGTGTAAACAGCACGTATAGACTGATTTAAATGTTTTAGCCTATACGTGTTAACACAACTTTTGCTGTTGCAAATTTGAAATGGTTGTATAACTCTTTACAGACAATAAACAATTGTCATTCAAATATTGTAGTACAGTATGCAATACAAATGTCACAGCATAAAGATGTCATAAAATAGTCACAGCACAGTATGTCTTAAACAATATCAGTAGTAGTGTGCCGTAAAGATGTACAAATACAATCAATATAGTATGCCATAAAATAGTCAACAATAACCATAGTATGTCATAAACAATGTGATCTAATGTATAAAAAACAAAATACTATAGTTGATAGTTTAATGACAAAATGTATTGTATACTATGTCATAAACATAAAGTATGGTATGCCATACGAGTAATAAACATGTCATAAATATAGTATAGAATGTCATGAAAGAGTTGGCGTTATGTCATTACAAAAAAAATCATAGTATAGTGTGCTATAAGAGTCATGAAACGCATCATGGAGATATACTAAACTATGCCTTAGTAATGTAATAGTGTATTATGCAATTAGTCATAACATGTCATGAATACATCGAAGTTAAATGTCAAAGTAATGTCAGAAAATATGTTTATAATATAAATATGTCACAGGTCATAGTGTATATATAAAAACGTCAAAGATCGTATTGTATGTTATGAAAAGTCCTGATTATCATTAAACATGAAATTATAGTATACCATACAAACATGAAAATGTCATTGTATAATAAGCCATAAGAGTCATAAAAAATATAGTATACCATAAGAGACAAAAAAGAGACATTTTTTTATGTGGCAAATATGACCCTTATGACCCCTCTGAGTACATTCATGCAGTAGAAGAAGACGTGGAAGAAACTGTCATCCCAAGTTTAGATCGGAACACTGCACTCTTCTGAGGAGAAGAGAAGGACTACGTGAGAATGTGAAGATGACGACTACTACTACAACTACTACATCAAATACAACTACTACCAAAGGTGTTTTCAAAGGTTTGATGACTGAGTGCAAATGAAGGAAGATAAAATCTGCACATGTGGTTTCCTTGTTCTGTCTTTATGTTGATTTCTTTTGGCTCGATGAAAAACTTGAGTTATGCTTCAGGAGAAAGAAGCTTTTTTTGTAGCAGATTGTATTTGCCAGGCCTGAGAGGAGGCAGAACGTTTTGTTTAAGGTCGAGCGGTGAAGCAACCTGTCATTTTGTAATTGAATGAAACTTAATGAGATGTGTGTCCACTGCAGTTGTATTTTTGGTGACTTTTAAACCCATGAGGGTCGAGCACGTTGTGTGCATGACACGAAAATATAGATTTCTATTTATCTACTAGTACTTAGAGATGAATACACCCTGAGTGTCCTTCTAATTCTGTACCTGAATTACACTGGCACACAACCATTATGTGTACAATCAAATGTCTTATGAAATAGATGTAAAAAGGCACTCGATAACTAGTCTAATATATAATATGGGTAATATGTAATAATATATAATATGGATAATATAATATATAATATGGAAAAAAGGGGTTAGTAAGGCAGAAAGAAGAAAAACCTTTGCAGCAAAAACATTTATTTCCACTGTTTTTATGGCCTTTTTGTCTGTACAGCATTTAATAGTTTTTATATACAGTTCAAACTCGTAGTAAAAAAAAACACAAAAATAAGTCAGTGGTTTGTAAACGTACACTTATGTATATAGAATTTAACAAGAATAATCAATCAATTTAATTAAATACGTTTAAATAAAAAAATGACCCCACTTCCGCCAGCGGCAATCGTTCCGCTAAAACCGGGGTAACATCATAATGAGTCCGGCGGAAGTAAGAATAGAAACGACAATATAGCGGACTGCTTGTTATAAACTGGCTCAGCCGGTGTGTTTTTTAAGCTCATACAAATCAAATTGGCATTAACTCGCGCAACATGTCGTCCGTCTTCTGTTTCCGAGACTTCGTGAACGAGCGACTAACCGCTGCTGCTGCGGAAATACTGGGCGTGTTTGAGAAAACCGTGGTGGTGTACGAGGAGGAGATCTACCGGCAGCGCAAACTGCTGGACGTGGTTCTGAAGCCGGTGATCAAACTACACAAGAAAAGTGAGAACAAACGAACCTTAACCGGTCCCTTCGATAAGTCATCACATCACGGATCCGCTTCTACTCTCCTTATTACTACGGCTGCAACATTAAACCGCTGCCTACACATTCATGCATCATTCATGATTATATATAATCTAATGTGACGCATAGTGTAAGTGCAGTTTGCCAATAATAGGCCTACTTTGTAACATTTTAAATCCAGGATATGTAACACTATTTTTTTTACATTGTGGTAATGCTACGTTTACATATAAATAATAATAATCTTTATCAATACATGGCACATTTCATATGAACTATGTAGCTCAAAGGTCTGTACATAAAAAAAATAAAACATAAAACCTTCCTTTGACAGATAAAATAAATGAAAGTGGTATAAGAAAGCATGCACTTTGCACTTATATTTGAAGTGTAATTAAACAATTTCAACAGATGAATAACAAACTGGCAAACGTTTTACATTTAAAAAGATAATAAATAAATAAAATTGTTTCAATATAAAAGTGTTTAAATACATAAAAATCACGTAAAAGACACATTTCGCTTGGTGAAATAGATTTTTTGAAGTGATGCTTGAAAATGTCAACAGTTTTTTTTGGTGTTCGGCTGTTCACAGTTTGGGAGCATAAGTGAAAAGATGCATCTCCAATTTTCTTTTTCGAGTGGTTTTGAGGAACTAGAAAGCAGCAGTGGAGGATCTGAGGGTTCGTGGAGGACATAGAGCAACAGAGAGTCTGTGATGTAGGCCGGCCATAAGCCTTTAGAGCAGGGGTATTCAATTACAATTCCAAATGGTCCAGATTGAGAAAATCTTCTCGGGCAAAGGTCCGGAACATTACAATAATATCTAACTTGCGCTATTTAGTGCCATATATATATTCAAGAAGCCTAGTAGTAGTAACAACGTCACTGTGTAGTCAACAACTGTCAAATCAAATAAAGAAAGTACACATTAATTATATTTTAACAATTATTATTCTCAGTTTTCAAATTTAACTTGATGGATTATAAATAATACATATAAATACATGTTCTTCTCATTTCAAATAAAATAAGGGCTGGATTAAAGAATAACTGACATAACAGAAAGCTTTTGAAAAATGTGCATCTTAAAATAAAGTAATTAATTTTAGAAAAAGATATTTCACTGAATTGCCCTGCAGCTTTAAATTCAGTTCATTCAGGTGTGAAGTGATGTCAATAAAAAAAGCCACAATATTATATTTTTCTCATCCTCTAACAAGATAAATTAGTGTGCATGGACTTTATCTGTGGTTATTAAACCACTTGTTTCAGCTTTATTCTCTCTGTTAACATCATTGGACAGTGAACTAATGTGTTAGGATTCTGATCATATTGGGCTCTTAGGTTTATTTTCTGTGTCTTCATTTCAGATGTGAGTGGGTACGTTAGCTCAAGAGAGTTGTGCTTTGTCTCGTAGTGGCGCTTCACATTACCGCTTTGAAAAATCGTCACGGTCTCTGAACATGTGAGACATACTGGTTTTAAACTGTCCGTGGGAAGAATTCACCGATAAGAGTCTGTTCATTCTTGGTTAAAGACTCTGGTCTCTCTGACCACTTTTCTCTCTTTGGAGAACGTCACGTGAATGGACTTCTCTGACTCGCGTAATTATTCTCCTGCTCTTCGTTGTTTCCTCGTCTCTCCCCCGTTTGTGTACATCTCACTCAAATCAGGGAACTTGTCAGAATACCCATATTTGATTGGCTGAGCTGCATCACGTGATGTGATTTGCACCGCTGAACAAGTGACGTAAAGGCTGGAAAAGCTGCGCCGGTTAAAATTGAAGCGCTCCGTCAAAATTTAATAATTCTCAATTATCTATCAGTTTTAGGTCCTGGGCCCGGATACAACGGCGTCTAGGTCTGGATCTGGACCACGGCCCGCCTATTAGTGACCCCTGCTTTAGAGCTTTGTACACAAGTAAAAAGACTTTAAAATCAATTGTGTGTTCTCTCCTTTTTGTTCTCGTTAGCAGTCTAGCTCGAGTCCGGCTTCTGGAGGGTTCGTAGCGTTACATGGGTCCTTCTTTAAAACCTTCTGGTGACGAGCGGCCCCCATTTGGGTGCTGAGCGAGACCGTTTAGCGTGGTACCGTGGTTCCGAATGGACTTTTTATCAAGAAATATCAAAAATGCTTCAGACATATTAAATACCGAATTAACAAAAACGTCTGGGCAAAATCATCATACCAGCCATTTTACACAATTATACAGTTATACACAAACTAATTCAATAAACTAGATTCACGGATTTTTCTCCAAAAAATCTGCGAACTGTGCACCCGATTTTCATCTTCCATCACAAAGCCGGCAGCGATCATGGCGGATGGATACATGATTCCACACTAGGGCTCCATACCGAGTCGACTCACGGTCTCCAAATTCACCTCCGTCAAACCATTCAAAAGTTACATGAACAAAGCCAACAAACAACACACTGCTCCCCAGAAAAAAAATTGAAAGTCAGCATACCTTTCGGTGATTTTCGTGCCGAAAAACGCAGGTAATCCATTTAAATCCGAGGCAGTGAAAATAGACCCTCTTTCCGCTCTCTCTCTGCATTGAAATGAACGTGCTGGGACCTTCTATGAGGAAATGGCCAGCATTTTTCTGCTGGACCAATGGATTTTACGCATAGGGGTTGTGCCAAGCATATCGAGATTTTTAGTGGCTAAAAGGCTGTCAATCTTCGAAATAACCCGCGTAGTGCTTTCGTTACTCTCTTCCGTATTCAACAAGGTGTCACATGATGAAATCCGCCAATCACAGGCCTTACAAAGGCTTACTGACAGGAGATTTTTTTTATGGAGGAGAGACATGAGAGCTGAAAATGGCTGAACATGACTGAAAATGATGCCAAACTGCTTTATTACGATGTATTGAACACTCTTAGTGATAAAGCAAGTGAATATATAGTTAATATGTAGTTATATAGTATATCAAATTAGAATAGAGCAGCGCAAAAGCTGGTTCCAAAAATGAGGAGAATTTGGCTTGAAACTCTGTACTCAGACCTCATTTATGCTGGCCTGCTTCACTCAATCTAAGTAAAATTTGCTTGTAGAGACCACAAAAATGTTGTGCTATGACTGTGGAGTATTTTTAGGCTTCAATCTGCATTATCTCAAATAACTATTTTCAATAAAAGTGCTTTTTTTTCAGGTGAACCTGAAACTTTTCAATTTGAGCTGTGTGCCATCTTCATTCACTATTAACCAGTAACATATACACAATATTCACACATCTGAACAAGTCTCTCACAAGTTGTATCTGTATTATACCATCAAAATTATTAAAATAGACCTTGCAGTTTCAGATTTACAGTCTTTTAAGTATGGGTATGCAATTTTCGAGCAGAGGCCTAAAAATAGGGCTCGGGGGCTGTCGTCACCAAAACGTTTTAAACCTAACCACTAACGCCTCTCCTGTCCTCCCTCTCAGAGATCACACAGTCATCCGTCTGTAACGACAAGGTTCTCGCCGACCGGCAGCTTTGTAATCAGGAGAGGAGCTCCGGTCTGGACCGACAGGACCCTGATCCTCCTCGGATTAAGGAGGAACAGGAAGAACTGCGCACCAGTCAGGAGGCACAGGAGGCCGATGGGTCGAAGTCGATGCCTTCTTGCGCGGGAAGGGATCGGACTCTGCTTTCGGATCCACCAACCCACATCTCAGTCACGGCGATCAAACCCGAATCCGACAGAGAGGGCTCGGGAGTGTTGGACCCAAACGGTGTCCACGGCCTCCCTCGCAACTCTCGCCGAGCCAAAGGCCAAGACCAGAACGCCGATCGGAAACCGGAGGATAAACGCTTCAAATGCCTGTTTTGCACTGAGCAGTTTTGCGATTTATTGAAGCTAAAAGTTCACGCGACGACCCATGCGGGCGAAAAGCGCTACAAGTGCGAGACTTGCGGCAAAGGGTTTGCCCGAAAGGCCCTGCTGAGGAAGCACGGGAAGACCCACGCGGGGGGGAAGCCCTTCGGGTGCCCGGTATGCGGGAAGGAGTTCAACTGTCGCTCGAACCGCGCCACTCACGTGAAGACTCACGTGGGCGAGAAGCCCCACGCCTGCGTCACCTGCGGGAAGGGGTTCAGCCGCGGGGCGGACCTGAGGAGGCACAACCGCACTCACACGGGGGAGAAGCCGTACAGCTGCGTCCACTGCGGGAAGGGGTTCTCCTACGACTCGTCGCTGAAGAACCACGTCCGGGTGCACACGGGGGAGAAACCTTACAAATGCGCTTTGTGCGGAAAAGGGTTCACCGTCGGCACGACGCTGAAGATACACACCCGGGTCCACACAGGGGAGAAGCCATATAAGTGCAGTGTGTGCGGGAGGAACTTCGCTCACGGCACGGGGCTGAGGTTGCATGGGAGGATCCACGCACGGGAGAAGCTGCAGAGCTCAAAACTCAAGATTTAGTAAGATCAGACTGTTTGGATTCAGCTGTGTGTTCAGCACGCAGCAACTCCCTACCATTGCGGAAATAGTTCTAATTGTTTGAAAGAAACAAGGAAAAAGATCCAAACATACCCTGGTCTCAGTTTTCTCTAAAGGATTTAGCTGCTATTATGAATTGAATACATTGGATTTTGAACTGTTGGTCAAACGATTTTGATGTCCCAGAGCTGTTGAAGGACAAAATAGACTAATTGTTCCTCAATGTGTTTCTCTAACATGTCTCACTGAATGCACCGGTCCGACTAAACAGAGGGCTTGGAATTTCAACTTCTACAAACAAGGCTGTTTATAGTCTGTATGGTTTGAGAGATCCAGAGTTAGATCATTCTTTTGGGTTTTTTT